CCACCAAGAATATCTCTTCAACTTCAATCGTCACAGGTAATTTTATGATCTCCTTTATATAGATATGTTTCTCCTTTTTTTTTCTGCAGGTAGAAGAAGAAATCAATTCCAAAGATACTACTTTAGTAAAGATAACCTCACAATCGAAGAATCTTTTTTTATATTTCAACTTGAAGACATGGCAGACTTGAAGGCATCTACTTGAAGACTTGACAGATTGAAGATTTCGACTTGAAGACTTAGTGGATTTGATGACTTTAACTTGGTGATTCAACTTGAAAAGAATTGAAGACTTCAACTTTTGACGATTTTGAAGAAGAATTGAATACTTCAACTTTTGACGATTTCGAAGGCCTTAACTTGACTTGGTGAATTCGGAGATTTTAACTTGATGACGCAGCGGGCTTGAATATTTCAAATTGATGATCTAGCGGACTTAACGAAATCAACTTGGCTTACAATTGGAGACTTCATCCTGAAGATTTAGCCTTTTATTAAAAGACTACAATCATTCCATCAGAGACCTCAATTTGACGTTGAGGGCTTGCCCCCTTTGGGCCATCAAGATAAGACAGAGATTTCAACAAAAGAATACATGTACACCTAACTTTCAAGTGTCAATTAAGTGAATATATTCCATCATACTTCCTTTGAATAAGGCCTTGGGTAATATGTATTTTTTAACTCATATGACTGAACTTAGAATAAAACTCCAAGCTGCCTACGTACCTCGGTGAAGAGGATCAAGTCATTCTGTAGTTCGAAATGGGTGAGATATTTTTTTTTGCGTCCTAACTTTTGCCTAAGCCGCCTCTTTCGAGGTTTTCAACCTAGCAGACTTTTTTTTGTGGGCCGTGCACAGTTTATACTCTTGCGAGTCAGGAGTAACATGCAGTTTATGCTCGTGCGTCGAGGAGCGTCATGACTTGCAGTTTAGGCTCGTACGTCGAGGAGCATTATAACTTGCAGTTTAGGATCATGCGTTAAGGAGCATTATAACTTGCAGTTTAGGCTCGTGCGTTGAGGAGCATTATAACTTGCAGTTTAGGCTCATGCGTCAAGGAGCATAGCGACTTGCAACTTAAGCTCGTATTTTAAGGAGCTTTGCAACTTGAAGATTTTGCTCAAATTTGAAGAGCTTCATGACATGCAGTTTAGGCTCATGCGTCCAGGAGTGTTGCAACTTGAAGGTTTAGCTTACAATTTGAAGCTCCGCTCGAATTTGAAGATCTTCATAACTTGAAGATTTAGCTTTGAAGAGCTTTGCAACTTGAACACTTTGCTCGAATTTGAAGAACTTTACAACTTGAAGACTTTGCCAAATTTGAAGAGGTTTACGTCTTGAATATTGACTCGAAATTTGGAAACTTTGCGATTTGAAGTCCTTGCTCGACTTTGAAGAGCTTTCGACTTGAGTCTTTGCTCGTATTTGAAAAGCTTTGCGACTTAAACACTTTGCCCAAATTGAAGAGCTTTACAACTTGAAGACTTTGCTCGAATTTGAAGAGCTTTACGCCTTAAAGGTTTAGTTCAAAGTTGGGGAGCTTCGTGACATACAATATATACTCATGTACCACGAAGCATTATAACTTGCAGTTTATGCTCGTGCGTTGAGGAGCATTATAACTTGCAGTTTAGGCTCGTGCGTTGAGGAGCATTACGACTTGCAGTTTAGGCTCATGCGTATGCGTCAAGGAGCATAGCAACATGCATGGACTCTTCAGTTTCATCTTCGGATGAATATTTGCCCCCATTTTGAGCATCGTCTGCTTCTATTTCATCATGAGGCTCAAAGTCAGGAAACCTTTGATCTCCACTTGTAGCCATACTCAATTCCATATCATGTGCACGAGTTGCTACTTCTTCAAATGTTTTGGGTTTTATGCCTTGTAAGATATAGCAAAGACTCCAATGCATGCCTTGAATGCACATTTCAATGCCAGAAGTTTCGCTAAGGCGATCTTTACAGTTGAGGCTTGCATTCCTCCAACGATTGATAAAGTCGATAACTGGTTCACTCTTTCGTTGACGAGTATTTGTAAGTTCTACCATACTCACAGTACGTCTCGTACTATAAAAGCGATTGAGGAACTCTTGCTCTAGTTGATCCCAGCTATCGATAGATCCAGCCTCGAGGTCCGTGTACCAGTCAAAAGCATTTCCTTTTAGCGAGCGGACAAACTGCTTGATGAGGTAATCTCCATAAGTCCCAGCATTGTTGCACGTCTCCACGAAGTGAGCCACATGTTGCTTTGGGTTACCTTTACCATCAAACTGTTGAAACTTTGGAGGTTGATAGCCAGAAGGCATCTTCAACATATCGACCCTTGAAGTGTACGGCTTTGCATACGTAAGGGAGGATTTGGCAGCTACTTCATATTTGTTCTTAATGGTTCCTTCAATGAACTCCTTCAGTTGATCGATTGGAATCATTCCTTCAGATGAAACAGGGATAGCCTTAGTGGATGTTGCCTGTCTTGGAGGAGAGTCACTCTCTAGAACTTCTGGGAGCTTGCCGGGTGCATGGGTGGATTCTTCTTCCATCAAGATTCCCACCCTGTCTGTTAGCTTATCGATTCTAGCCTCTTGATTTTGCATGCATTTGGTCAAGCCAGCGATTGCTTCCATCAAGTTTCCAACTGCTCCTCCACAGATGAAGTATTTGTCACCATAGCTTGCATGATTGTCGTGGACGACGGAGAGTAGCATGGATTTTCACACAGATTGATCCTTGATCGGCTCACGCTATGTGGTGTAAGTGGGGAGGATCCATCACTTGAAACATCATCATTTTCCTTCATAGCAGAGTGCTTGGATCCGGAGAGGTCAAGCAGAGCAAGAGTTTTCTTGATCTTTTCAGCAACATCGCTTCCTCCTTCAGATGCGTTTGTGGAAGATCTTGCTCCTTTTGAGGATGAAGATCCGAAAACAGGGGTTGACGCGGACGGCACTTGGGGTGCTTGTTGTCCTAAAGAGCTTGCTTTGCTCCTCGTAACTGGTCCGAAGCTTCCAAAGGTAACACCGAGGATGTTTTCCACATCAGCATAGAACCTGGAGTTAGTAGCCTTGGTGGAAGTTGAACCGGAGTTGATTTTCTTTGAAGCCATTTCAATGTTCTTGGACTTTGGTGATTGAAAAGTTGAGATGAGAGGTAGAGATTGTCCCACTGGGCGTGTCAGAATTTGTGGACAATAAATTTGAGTCGAGAAAATAAAATCAAGACCGAAAAATATTGCAACAATCGTAGTATTTGATTTCGAATATTTGAGTGTTACAATCTCTATGAATCCTCTGATTCTTCTTTTCAACAGTAAATAAATTCAAGGGCCTTTGAGCTTGATCTTGAATCTATATTTGCTTCCACGAACGATGATCTTGTTCTTGAGCTTGAGCTTGAGCTTGATTGCTTGAACTTGATCTTGATTCGTTCTTCGTTCTTGAGCTTGAATCTTATTTCTTGAACTTGAACTTGATTGCTTGAAGCTTGAAACTTATAGAGAAATTTGCGGTGTTTGATCCACGAGCTCTCTCTTGCTTCTTGTTATAACTTCTGGTGTCCTTTCTGAGTTATGAAGACCCCTATTTATAGTTGTGGAAGGGAGGAGTCATGATAAGAACAAACTCTTTCCGACCAATCAAATTGAAGTGTGACATGGCCGCATTTGATTGGCCCGAACATGTCACTTGCACACGTGGCGCGATTTCATTGGCCTTTCAGTGTGACTGGGAGCATGCCTTGTCATTTTGACATGTGGCATGATCCTATCGGCTCTTCCGTTTGACTTGGCGCGCCACGTCATTTGACACGTGACACCAAACTAGGCCTCTAGGAAGATGACATCTTGGGCCTAATGAATTGGGCTCATCACTTTAGCCCAATTAAATGTGCTAGCCCAATGGATTATGACTTATTTATTTAATCCATATATATTGGACTTATATAATTAATTCAATTATATTAGCCCATATATTTATTTGGACCAGTATATTTAAAATATAATCCAAATTATTTATTGGATTTAAATCCAATAAATTTTACATGCTTACAGGTGCAACATCTCATCTTAGGCAATATCTTAAAATAACACTCCATCAACTAAAGAAGTAAAGCATTAAGTATTTATTCATTTATGTCATATTAAATTCTCACCTACTAGTTCATGATCATAATCTGAAAATTTTGAAGCAATTAGTTGTCGTTAACAAAAATAAGAAAATAATCTGCTATACACACTTACAATTCGAATATACAAAAAAGAAGAATTAACCCTAATAGCCGTCCACTTAATATCTTAAACTAAATCAATGTATGACTGTGTAATAATTAATGTATATTTATGTATATCTGCTATAAAAAGTAAATATTGAATCTGACCGGCTTTTTACGTAACGATCCCTATTCTCTACAAAGATATCTTATACTCTCTCTGTCTCATATTATGTGTCGTGTTTCTCTTTTACACGCCCCTTAAGAAATATTAATTAGGAAAGGAATTGGACTATTCTACTTATTTATGTCTTAAGATATAGTATCTCTTCATTGAATATTTATTCTATTTATGTGTCATCTCCATCTTCAAGAACAATTATTACTGAGGGTAACAAAGGAAAAACAATCAATTTTATCTTGAACTTCTAAAATGACAAATAATTTGAGACAACTATTTTTAGTAACCACTACTGTTAATATGAGACAGAGGGGGTACTATATACTATATTTTTTTAGCACATCTTCTATAAAAAGGGTCATCTAACTAAAATAACCATTTATTTTAAGCAAGCTGATGTCGTTATTAATGGCATGCAACTTCTTTTTGTGATTCATCCTCCTGCAACAAATTCCCCAAAATTCAGGCCAATTTCCAGGACAAAACTAATTAGCTTTGTCAGGCATTAACTATATACTCATCCAAATTAAATGAATAGAATTAATTAATAGCTGCAAATGACATACAATTATTCTCCTCCAAAATCATATAAATCTCTAATATCTAGGAAAATGTACTAAGTTCCATCACTGACTATAAGAACAACAAGAAGCAAATGGCAGCCAAGAATTTAACAGTCACATTTCTTATACTTGTCCTAGTCGCGGCTCCATTTCCAGGCATAGCAGTCTATGTTACTCCTGGAAATGTAACGTGCCACGACGTTATTAATTACTTCGCGTATTGCCAAGAATATGTAGATGGAGATTATGAAGATCCAACTCCAGCGTGTTGCGATAACTTACATATTATGAACGAGAATGTGAAAAAGGATAATACAGAAGCTCGTAGGTATTGTTATTGTATTGAAGTTTTCTGTGCTACAGTTGGTCGTCCTCATCCTCCTTATCTTCAGTCTCGGATTACAGATCTTAATACAAAATGTAACTTTCATCGTAGTTTTCCCATCTCTGAGCACATGGACTGCACAAAGTACGTATACTCTATCAATTAATCTCCTTAATTTCTTTCCTCCCTTAAACTTTTGTATACGCAGAGGCGGAGCCAGAATTTGAAACTTATGGGTTCAGAATTCTAAATTTTTTAAGTTACTGGGTTCTAAATTGATAATTTATACACGTTCAATAAATTTTTTAAAACAAATACATAGTTTGAACCAAAGCTACTGGGTTCGGCCGAACTCGTAAGTTATACTCTCCCTCCGCCCCTGTGTATACGTACTCCCTATGTTCCAAGTTATGCGACAAATAGGTTGATTTGATACTAGTTTAAGGTAGAAATGTAAATTTTTAAAAATTATAGTCTTAAACATGTCATAACGTATGTGTGACTATTAGGTGGGCTATGGGACGGGTCAAAATGCATGGGTAATAAAAAATGGATAAATTATCCAACCCGATCAATATTTAATACAAATAGAAAACGGGTTAACCGGCGGATATCATGGGTAACCATATTATCTATGAACTTCTTGAATATGATCACTTTTGGGAGAATTCCTAGTCTCCCAAACTTTTGTATCTGTACTCACTATGCATATGTTAAGTTATGTGACATATAGGTTGATTTGATACTATTTTAAGAAAGAAATGTAAACTTTTGAAGATTGCCATCTTAGTATGATTATAAAAACTTTAATTTCATTAAGGGTTAAGTATTTTCGAATATAAAAAATATGTTATTTTTTAAGCAGACTAATAAGAAAATAGTGTCATACAAATTGAAACAGATGGATGAATTATTTCTTTTGGTTATATCGTAGTAACTAATACTTCTTCTTACTTTTCTCGTGTTTTCTTTGGGTGCAGTGTTTAGTAAGAGAATATTCAGCTCTGCAGAAGGATAGCAGTTCTCCACAATTATATGTTAGAAAAAGAAAATATATTGTATATATATGAATTGGACGAATGATGAATTGATCATACTTATCTCAACATGTAGTACAACACCTCAATCCCAGCCTGGGATCGGCTATATGGATACTTATTGATCATATTTTTCCATTCAGATCATCCCAGATTAATACTATACAAAAATAATAATAATTACGCCTCAGTCTTAAGTAAGTTATTGTGAACTGACATATATCCCTTCGAAAACTAACACAATAAGATTTTATTAAAATAGACGGTTTACAAAAATGGTCGTATAGCAATTTATAAAGAATCAAGAAATATTAAAGTTTATAGTCTAACTCCTTTCTTGATAAATATAGAGAAAAAAGCAGCATAGATTCCTAACTTCTTTTTTCCGATTTTGTAAGACCAACTATCTTCATAACCAATACTTTCAATTTACATGACAATTTTTTTCATTTAGAATATTCCAAACTTCATTCTACTAGATGTAATTATATATGGTCTCACTAAGGTTCTGAAATTCAAATATATTTAACTAATCAAAATTTAATTAGTTTTGACGTTATATTCTTTTCTTTCAAACTAAGATTTTTACTGTCATAATATTTTCTTCACCTTCAATTATAAAAAAGTAAGTCAAATTAATCTCTTAGACTCTCTCATGATCAAATAATAGCGTCACATAAATAAGACTGGAAAAGTCATAGAATTTGCGAGTAAATATTATGTTTCATCCCACAATTGGGGGATAAAAAACTTGGCATTAGATGATAGTCAAGTAACATTCATGTATATAACCATCAAGAAGAGATGTGAAGAGATGAAAGAAATTCATTATTCTTAACTAGAAGTCTCGACCTCAAGTTGTAAAAATGGATTTTTTTTTTATAAGAAGTGTTTTTCCCTTAAATGAATTCTATGCAACGTAAATATGAATTAACTGTGAATTTCAAATACAAAATAGTTATACCTAAAATAAATGCATTTATGGGTATAGCCTGGTACTACAGTACCACTAAGTTAGATTAGAAGATCGAGTTATACCTAATTAGAAGTTTCGAGCTCGACTTATAAAAATGAAGAAATGTATTGTCTGTTACTACTTCCTTGAGTGATCTAATGTAGGAAATTATGGGTATTCTGTTTCATTGGACTTTATCTTTAGCTACTAGGTAGCCTATATATGTCTTATGACACTGATTAAACTTGAATCGAAATTAATGACAACACTAAACCTTTTATTCATTTGTTTAACTCGCATGTAAAAAGATTTGTTTAACTCGATTTGATCCCAAAATGATGAATAAACTAAATAAAAGCAAGACTTAGCGTTGAAATCGAGATAAAATAACAGAAAGCTTGGTTCCGGGAGCAAGACTTCCGAAGGCAGCAATAAGAATATCGTTAGACAGAAAATAAAGTATTATTTAGCTTGGAATAATGTATAGCATCAGTTTGCCAGAATTTTTCGTGTCCTACAACAGTTGTTGAAGTCACTATTTATAGCTATACATAGGGAACAAGATCCTAGGATCAAGCCCCTCTTAAATAATAATATTGGGGGCCATTGATGAATATGTAACGGCAGATAAAGACTGCCAAAATTCTCTGTAACGAACGTGCATGTATTCAATACTTAGGAATATTCTTCATTGAATGTCATCTGGTGGCAAATATTCGTTTGCCCTCGTTAACAATGTTCCCTTCGGGGTCTACCCGATGACATCTACAGCTATTGTCCTCGGTCTTGGTTTTCACTCGCTTTGTCTTCTGTCTGTTTCAGATGGTATCAGAGCCACTTCTGTGTCAGCCTTGCCGATGATGGGTCAGGGTTCAACTAAGTTTAGGCAAATTCCAGTTAGGTGGGGAAAACCTCGGTGCTGAGCCTAGGCGAATCCCATGCAGTGGAGCAAACCTCAGCGAGGACGCTGAGTCCATAAGAGGGGGTTGTATGAAACACCCCAGACTTTAGACGGAGTCCCACATCGGCAAAACACAAGAGGGATGCTGGGTATATAAGTTAACAAGCCTTAGACCCTAGTGACGCGTTTTAAACCCGTGAAGGCCTTGGTCCAAAGCGGACAATATCACTAGCGGGTTGGGCTGTTACATCTTTCACATTTGTTAGCTGGTTTGGAATCTATTCGATGACTTTAGTCTTGTCGGGATTGACTTCGACCCCCCTTTGTGACAACATGAACCCTAGAAATTTGCCGAAGCTAACTCTTAACGCACACTTTTCAGGGTTGAGCTTCATATTATGCTTTCTTAGGATATCGAAGGTTTCCTGGAGGTGTTACTAATGGTTACCTGCATTCAAAGCCTTAACCAACATATCATCTATGTAAACTTCAATTTTTTTCCCTTTTTGTTTTTCGAACATTTGGTTTACGAGCCTATGATAAGTGGCTCCGGGATTTTTGAGCCCGAAGGGCATCAAATTGTAGCAATATGTGCTAAAGTTCGTTATGAACGAAGTTTTTTTCCTGATCCTCTGGGATCATCTTGATTTGGTTGTACCCGGAATAGGCATCGAGGAAACTCATCAACTCGTGTCTGGCCGTTGCATCAATCATTTGATCAATGTTTGGCAATGGGAACGAGTCTTTTGGGCACGCCTTGTTCAAATCCTTATAATCTACGCATTTATAGAATTTATTATTCTTTTTTGGAACTACTACTACGTTAGCCAGCCAGTCGGGATACTTTACCTCCCGGATTGAACCGATATCGAGCAATCGAGTTACCTCTTATTTGACAAACTTGTTTCTGACCTTGGTAATTGGGCGCTTCTTTTGTCTTACCGGCGGGATGTTGGGGTCTAGGCTTAGCTTGTGCACGGCCACCTCTAGTGGGATACCTGTCATATCCGCATGCGACCATGCAAAACAATCAACGTTAGTTTTAAGAAATTCTATAAATCCTGATATGAGCTCGGTGTTAAGTCATGTCCCCAACTGAAACTTCCTCTTTAGGAACTTTTCGAACAATGCCACTTGTCGAGTTCTTCCGCAGTAGATTTGGTCGTGTCCGTTTCTTCCGGTACTTGGAAATACCTTGGTACCTGGTGGGATTCCGACGACTCCTCCTCTTTGTCGTCTTCGTTTGATTGGGAAGCAGGTGCCGATTTCTGTAACTGCTATGTCGTGTGTTCCTTCCCTTTACTGCTGAAAATCGAGACCGCGTTCATTTTCCTTGCCATCGGTTGATATCCTCTTATTTGTTTGATTCCCTTTAGAGTTGGGAATTTGAGGAGTTGGTGATATACTGATGACACAGCCTTCATCTCATGTAACCATGGTCTAATAAAGAATTATGTTGTAGCCCATGTCGCCATCTACTACTTCAAACAGGGTAGTCTTCATGACCGACGTTCGTGGGCAGCAAGATCTCCCCTCGAATTGTCACACTTGCTAAGTTGAACCCAACGAAGAGCTTTGTTGCCGGAATGATGCTTCTGGTTAGCTTGACTTGCTCTAGAACTCTCCACTGAATAATATTGGCTGAACTTCCTGGGTCCACCAAAACATGCTTAATTTCAAAATCTAGAACGTTAAGAGAGATTACCAGGGCATCATTGTGCGGTAAGTCCATCGGCATCCTCCTTTGTGAAGGTGATGTCGTCCTCAATGACTTCCCGGAGTCTCTTGCTATGAGTTACTGATACCTTTGTCTTTTTTGCCGCTGAAAAGGTTACACCGTTAATCTCGTTCCCACCGAAAATCATGTTGATAGTTAGTCGAAGATGGTCTTCTCCTATCTTCGAGGGCTTTGCGTTGTCTCGGCTGCGTCCATAATTTTTCTTGGTCCAGTCGCTTAAGAACACTCTGAGATGGCCATTTTTAACAACGTTGCCACCTCCTCGGGCAGATGTCGGCAACCCCCAGTCCGGTGGCTGTTAGTCCATGATACTCACACCATAGATTAGGATCCCTCTGGCTGGGATCGGATCACATCAGCCTCGGGAATCGTGCTTCCTTGATGTTCCTCATTGCCGATATTAGCTCCACTATGCTGACATTGAAATTGTACTCGGACAGCCTGGGATAGGTGGAATCCCGGGAACCCGTTACCTTTTTATCTTGTAATGACCTGCTATTCTGGCCGCAGTCAGTTCTTCTATCTAGAGAGAACCTATTCGTCGACCGGAACCCTTTGTCGCGTCCTTCATCTCTTTCGTAGGGCAAAACTGGCCCTTAGAAGATCGCCAATCTGCATCAAATCATCCTTTAACTTATCCTATATCTTTTCTCGATCCCAACCCTTTTTTGATGCCGGAAACGCGAGCTGATCATCTTATATTCTTATCTTTGAATCGTAACGGTTATGGACATGTCCCCATGTAGTTGCCTGGAACTCGAGCAAGATTTCTGTCAATTTCCGGGAGACGTCAGAGCTTCTCGGGTTCAGCCCCTTAGTAAACGCCTCAGCTGCCCATTCATTTTGGAACGGCCAGTAGCAACATCTTTTCTTTCTAAAACCTGTTCACGAACTCACCCAGCAATTCGGACTCTCCTTGCGCAATTCTGAATATGTCCGCCTTTCGGGCTCGTACCTTCTTAGCCCCGGCACGGGCCTTGATGAAGGAGTCTCCGAGCATCTCGAAGGAATCTATTAAGTGTTCGTGTAAGAGTGAGTACTATGTCAAGGCCCCCTTCATGAGGGTTTCTCCGAACTTCTTCAGCAGGACCGACTCAATCTCGTGCGGAGCCAAGTTGTTTCCTTTCACCGCCATTGTATAGGCGGTGATGTGCTCCTGACGGTCCGAAGTCCCATCATATTTTGGTATATCCGGCATTCTTAACCGTTTCGGAATTAGCTCAGATGTCACGCTCGGTTTGAACGGCAACTGGGTGTATTTCTTTGAGTACGGTCCCTTCAATACAAGCGGTGCATCTGGAATTTGGTCCATTCAGGTGTTTATTTCCCTTGTAAACCGCATGAGCTCGGTTTGGAACGGATCATTACTGTTGTTGTTACACAGATCAGTTGCCGATCCCTCGGCCCCGTCGAAGCTGCCCTCACCCCTATGGTTGTTGTTATCAACCTTTTGGGTTGTTTGATTCGTGGGAGCACCATGAGGAACTGGACCTCTTTCATTCGCGTT